AATTTTCAATACAAAATTCCAACACAAACATGGCCTAAATGTATTCTACCCAGTGTGGTGTGAGATATCATGGCCCACGTTACTCACCTCCCTTGTTATGTCAATAGCATACAAGGCCCTGACGTCATAGACTCGCATATCTGACCAAAATATTATCAAAAAAAGATCACCTAATAATCAGTTCGGAGGTGAATAAGCATATATACAGAAATACTGCCTTAGAAACAGAAGCCAGATGAGCAGTAGGTCTAGTTTTGCATGCAATGTCATTTGGATACATCCCAACACTGATTATAATATATTTCCTTTCAAACAGTTAGATATATAACTACTAACTAACATTTGTAAACATATACAAAACAAAAAATTCCCAAAACTAAATATAATGTTTTCCAGAGAGAAAAATAACCGCTAGTATAAATCACAAACTCGTTACTTGAGCTGGATTGTCCAGGATACCTACCAACATATAGCTCTTCCACATCGGCATTCTTGTGGGTTTCAACTAAGAGGATTTGCTTATTTATTTTCACGAGTAAAGAGTAACACATCGCAAAAACAATCATATATCTTTGTGGAAATACGTGTTTTTCGTTAAAAGCAGTAGCCCGAACCCAACTAATTACTTCTCATTTCCAATCGAAGAATTAATTTACATGTATATTATTTTTGTACATCAAGTTTAATATACCCTATTTGTAGTTGTGTACATCGAGCCGAGCGCTGAGCCACGAGCGGCTCGGGCGAGCAGTTCGCTAGGCGAGCGCTCGCCAAGCCAGGCTCATGGGCTCGTTTAATAGGTGAGCCATGAGCCGACTCGGCTCGTGGCTCACCTATTAAAAAGTAATAATAAAAAAATGTCAGTGACCGTTCCTGTTACTGAATTTTGTTTCAGTGATCGCTTCGGAACGGTCACTGAACTGAACTTTTTTCAGTGATCGAAACGGTCACTAAATTTTATTTTATTATTTTTATTATTTTTTTTCAATACCACTTTTCCCCATAATACCCTTCCATTAATCCATTTTTTTTCCACCCAACTATCAATT